AACGTAATGCCTTGTTTTGTTGACTGCCTGCATGACTTTTAGCCAATTTGGTATTCATCTGAGTCTAAAATGCGTTAGACTAACTACAGACTTAAAAAGGGCATTTAATTCATCCATGAAACTTCTGCTACCCAAAGACAAAGGATGGGACATTACGGCATCTTCCAATGTCAAAATATAATGTAAAGTAGAAAGATGGGTTCGACAACTGGCGGGTGATGTGCCCCCTCGGTTACTCGCCTATCATCAACACCCCTCCACTTGCCTCGCTCTTCCTTCTCATGGCGAAACCGTTGCCTTTGATGAGCTGTGCTGTTGGGAGGAGTGAAAATGAGGTGTTTCAATGCGTGAATGAGGAATTGGGTTGCGATGACGACGAGTGAAGAGGCCTTTCATTTGCCGAAGTAGTTGCAAGTAACCTGCCGTGTTGTTGTTGTTGTTGCTGCTGCTGCTGCTCTCATCATCCCATGAAGCATTTGAGTTGTGCCACCCTCCTTGACGTGGAAGGAAGGCGGATGTTGGAGAGATGTCGGAAAGACGGTAGCCTGTACCCAACTGTAGGAGGAGATGAAATTGAGGCGATGCCAAATGCGGGCACACCTCACAACAGATGATGGCGGCTTGCAGAAGGAGGGATGGGAGAGGTGTTTCGCCGATTGTGTGTGTGCATACGCAGGAGCGAATGGTGTGTCGTGGTCTGCAATCATCACTGTTGTTAGAGCGTGGAGTGGTGAGAGCGTAAACAGTTGTCAGTTGTGGTGTCAGACGAGACAATGTAAAGCGAAGGGATGAAGGTGACGACGTGCACATTCAGGTGGATCGCATCACGAGATGCCTCATGTAGAGGCTGCCTAGAGGCGTGATACCGTCTGTGGCATCGGTGAAGTAGAGGTGGGAGGGGAGGCGCAGACAATGAGTGGTGGAGGCGTGAGGTGCAGTGGACTTGGCAGTGGAGGCAGTGTTGGCGCAGCATCTGAGCCTAAGTGGTGTTGGTTTGGTAGGGCAGTGTCGCATTT